GATGGTCTACACATCAAATTTTGGCCAAACCTTTGGATAGGTCCGACCCCCTTGTCTCAAGGCTACCCCTCTCTATATCTTTTGGCTCAAGACCAAGAAGCTTTGGTCGCAGATTATGTCACTTTCAATGGTTCTAACTTGGTATGGGCCCCAATTTTTAGGAGAGACCTCCTAGACAATGAGACCAACTCCCTCATCTCCCTTCTCCATACCCTTCACCCCATCTTCAGCTCCCTTTCTTCTCAAGACCCTTTGATTTGGTCCCCTTCTCCCTCGGGTTCTTTTTCCGTATCCTCTTTCTACACTTTCCTTCTACCCAATTTGCCCCTTAGCCCTATCCTAAACAAATGCTGGTCTCTCCCAATTCCCCACAAAGTTCAGGCCTTTATCTGGGTCTTGCTCTAGGGAAAAACCCTTACCTTGGACCAGCTTCATCGTCGTGGCTACTCCTTCCCCAACCGTTGTGTCTTGTGTCTTCAAGAAGAGGAGTGAATCCCCCACCTCTTCATCCATTGCAAGGTCTCTTTGAGTTTATGGTCTTCCCTCCTAAATCTATTTGGGCTCCGTTGGGTCAGTCCTTCAAATTTGCTCAACCTATTTCTGTCTTTCTTTTTCCCCCGTTCTAATCGAATGGGAAAAAACTGTGGCACCTCTCAGTCTCGGCTCTACTTTGGAGCCTGTGGCTAAAGAGAAACTCTAGAACCTTCAGGGGTACCTCGAAAACCACCCATTCAATTTTCCAATCGATCACTGTCCTTATTTCCACTTGGTCAAAATATATCCCAATCTTTGCTACTCCTCTAATTTTGAACTTTCTAAACAACTGGGACAGCCTCCTCAAACTCTCAGCCCATACACAGTGACCTAGACCCTAGTGGACACCCACCCCCTCCCCCCCGGGATACTTGAAACTCAAGACTGCTGGGTCCTCCTTAGGAAACTCAGGCCCATCGGGCATTGGTGGAGTTTTATCAGACTCTTCCTCTACCCTTATGACCTTCTCAAAATTTATAGGTCACCATGACTCTACCCACTCGGAGGCAAAGGCAATGTTAGAAGGCCTCAAAAGGGTTCTTTGGAAACAAGTGCACTAGGGGTTATAATGAATTTTGATTCAAGCGCAACCCCCTTGGATACTGAACTCAATCTTTGAAAAAATTTATTTCCTTTGCAGCTCACCGCCTCCACCAATTTTCAAACTGATATACCGAGAAACCAATGGTGAGGTAGACCGATTGGCGAAGGAAGGAGCCTCACAACGATCGTACGCTATCATATCCTTGACACATGTGCTTCCACCCTTCTTCTCCTCTCTTTTTATAGCTCAATCCTACCCCCCACTCAGAGCTCCCCCGTTATAAAAAAAAAAGAAGTTATGTCTATAGTTTCTCTCATTTGCTTACCTCTTTTATCCCTCAACACACCTCTCTCTTCTTCTCTCTCCTGTTCCCTTAACCGCGTTTATCCCACTCTCCACAGATCTCTAAACGACCTATGCTTCGCCCAATTCTCCCATAGAGGGAGGAATATTGTATTTTTGCTACTTAGATCAGCCCTCTCTCTCTTCTTGTTCTTTTAGGCTAGGGGTTTTTAGAATGCTTTTCTCTCTCCTATTTTATCCTACTTTCGCTCTCATCTTCTCCTTGCCCTCTCAGCAGCTCTTTCTGCTATACTACCCTCTTCCTTTGCTTCATCCTGTCCTACCTCTCTCTTTATTGGCCTTCTTCTTGCTCTGTCTTTGTGCCTGTAGCAGGGAACCTTGCGGTCACCCGTTTATATTTTGTTAAGATGACTACCAATGTAAGTCCCCCAAGGTAGATACCTGCCATATCCAGCTGTACCTCGCACTTCGTCTCAAAAACGGTCTCAAGTTTGAGTACTCCTCAGGAAGCCTTTCTTCTAACCTCGGCAACTTCGCAGATCGCACCAAAAATCCATTGGGACCATTGCCATGCCATACAAGGACCCATCCCCGTTACAGATCTCGTGCTCAACATGCCTCATTGCTCACGCTGGAAGCCTAAGCCTAGAGCTACGCCTCAGGTTTATCTCTCACAATAGCAAACCAGAATACTCTCGCCACCTAACTCTTGCAACGACTCTCATGCTTGCAATTTTGTAGAAGCTTGGCCTTTCTAATACCTTTCAGGACTAGCCAGAAGTTTGGAAATCTTTTTTGTTTTCATTGTAGCTCTTTTCCCCTCGCTCCTCTCTCTCTCTCTACCCCCTACTATGTTCTCCCTTCTTCTTCTTCTCTATCTAAGTGCCTCTCCTCTCTCTCTCCTCCCCCCTACTATGTTCTCCCATCTTCTTCTCCTCTGTCTTAGTGTACTCTGAGCACCCAATTTGTGGGATGCCATCTGAGTTCTACTCGTTTTGTAAATTTCTATCTTTTATACGAAGTTAACCTTTCTCAACAAAAAAAAAAAAAAAAGTCTCATACACATTGAATCTCATAGTTGTGCAACTATGAATCGCGGATTTTGTGATATGGAATCTAGATTCTAACCTTCCAAGAATCAAGATTCAGATAATAATTTGGAATGTGTTCCATGAAACTGGGAACCATGGTTCCTATCTTCTAGATTCATATTTCATCCTAGGAACTGCAGAATCGCGGTTCCGTACAAATTGCGACCTTGGTACGCGATTCGGGTAACTATAGGTCTAGCACTGTACTTCTAAGTCACAGTCTCTTAGAAAAATTGAGTGTGCTAGGTACTCATTATAAGTCATACATTTTCTAGGAGAACGTTACAATGGGATTTCAATAAATGTGGATCGAAAATGTCGCAAAACAATTTTCCTTATCCCAAATGTGGCCCAAGAGTTTTTCGCAATATTGATACCTCAGGTTCCACAAAACCTTCAAAAAGTTACAACAATACCTTTATTGAGTAAAGATAATTCAAGAATCTTAGTATTAGTGCATGCAATATGTTAAAAATGGACAATACGATAACACATGGTAACGGTTTTCTCACAAAAAAATGCTCGAGGACCTTATAAAAACCAAGGGATGAAAAATATTTCATAACTCACACAATAACAGCTCGTATGACCAATATCCCTGCCTCATCCAAATCCTACGTGTCAATGTTTGTGAGATATTCTCCATGAGTTTTTGAAATTGTCCCTACTAAGGGAAATGCTCAAAGGGGGAAAAAAGCCAAGACAATTTCAGTTGGATCCCTTTGACATGCAATGCTGGACACCTGGCACGATTCATGTTTTTCCCTTGTGAGTTGCGTAAGCAAAAAGCATAGGACCTGATTTGTCATAAGCTAGTTGATGGAATTCAAAGGAGTGGCTTGTATGATTCCCGATGTGTAAAATAGAAAATTCTTTTTTTCCTTTATGAACAATCAGGTAATTCTACTTACAATGCCAAAATACATAGTGGAATCAAAAAATAAAATCCACTACAATCCTATGGATCTTAACTCTATCTTAAAGAAAATAAACTTTACTTCACTAAATGAATTCTATTAGAATAGGAATTCTAAATCGAATATGAATCCTAGTTCAAACAGGAATCCTCACTCAAATAAGAATTCTAGTACAAATAGGAATTAAGAACAATAAACTGAAAATAAATTGAGAAATAAAGCTGGGAAGACTTATCTGAACTTTACCTAGGTTCACCCTATAGGAATTAGCACACCTCATACCTAGGTACCAAACCCATGGCGCATGATCCTTGGCCCTGCTTAAGTTCTCCAGATTTGGAAGCATCTATGGCAGTACCCTCTCACAAAAATGGGACTGAGAGCATGAACACAATTAGGGTTTCTTTTTAACCCTTTAACTTCGGGGTATGCCACAATGTGGCACCATCCCCTAAGCACACAACCGGGTTGGACGTTCTTTCTCTGGAGCACCTAGCCAGTCGTGCCACTGTAGGTGTCCTATGGGTGGCATCGCACCCCTAAATAGAGAGAAAGGACTAGAGAGAGAAAGAGAAGAGAGACAGGGGCATGGAGGGGCGAGAGAAGGAAAGAGAGAGGCTCGAAAAAACTTCTTGGTGGGAATAAGGGGAGTGCCTCCCTTTATATAGGCCCTCATGGCCTCGATCTTCTAATAGGATCAACTTTGACCATAGGGATCCTAGGTAGTCTGTGAGGTGAAGAGATAATTAAATCTCAGCCATCTATTCTGAAGATCAGCCATCATGATTAGGATGGAATTTAAGAACCATTATCCCTTGAATCTTTGACCCCTATCGACTTCTAGTCTAACTAGGATTAGATCTTCCTAAAATCAACTTATATTAGGATTATGATTTGTTTCCTCTCTTGAGAAGTTCTTTTCTTTTAAGAAACCCAAAAACAAATTTTTTAGAAGATCCAATCCAAAAAAGCTTTCAGAAAACAAAAACAAATATCATCAGATCTCCACAACTAATTCAATTTGAATTAGGAGAGGAATAGGAAAGCCAAAGAGGTGGAATCTCCATGTGGATTGGATTGAGCTATCTAAGAGGAAATTTGTGATTGAGCTACTCGCAATGCTAGAAATTAATCCGTGGCCCTAGAAATCCTTTTTCAGTGTTCCATTTCTGTATTGACATGAATTGGACAGAGTAGCGACACAGCTGTTGCCACTTTTTGTTTTGCAATTTCATATATGTACTCCTCTGCTGTAGCTCAGCTGTGAGTTTTTTCGTGCTTTTTTGAGTTTCCTTTCGTCATTGTGTTATGACACCTGCTTCCTTTGATCTTCTGGATTATAGGAGTGCTTAGTGCACATCTCTTTGACAAATCATTTTTGGAATTTGGCAAGACATGATTGGTAAAAACTGTGAATATCCTGTGAATATTAGTGGATTTCAAATTATCATTTCGGCATGCAAGTGTTGATTTGTTCATCTGCAATGTAAAACTTTTATGCAATGCTTTTCCTGTAATCCTTATATGCTTATGTTGTATTTGTGGTTTTACCCAGCTGATCATGTTTATTATCTTACATCTAGTTCACAAACTGATTTTTTAATGCCTCAGGCAGCCAACTTTCAACTCAAGAGCCATGATGGAATATCTGGTGAAAGGATTGCTAGATATAGTTTTCCAAAGAATCATTTCAGTTCCAACCAGAAGACAGTTTCCTTACCTTCATCTCCTCATGAGTTCAGTAGGAGTCAACATTCTCTGGAAAGTAGGACGTCAGGCTTTGCGCCAACAGAAGATATGGTTGCAACTTGGAACAAAGTTTTGGGTTCTTCAACGTTACAAAACAGGCCCTTATTACCTTTCAACGAATGGAATATTGATTTTTCAGAATTAACTGTTGGGACTCGTGTGGGTATTGGTACGTGGTATTCCTTTATTTTGCACTTTGGGTGTTAACAGAGTTTAGACTTTTATTTTGAATGAATGCATCTTGCTCTTAAATATCAACTTGTAAATTTGAAATTTCATTCTTTGCACGTCGTGACATTTTACCCTCAAATACATCTAGTATGGTTATATTGTGTTTCTATTGATGTCCATAACTGTTGCGGAAGTGCTTGGTTACCCCTTCTCCAAAATTCCCTGAAGTCAACTATTGCTCTGTTTGTCAGCCTTGGATGATAATATTTGTAATCTACTGAGACGAATGATCAGATGCCCTACGAAGAAAGCTGTTCACGTCCTCCTTAGGAGGTGTGCCATCCATCCGTTAATGGACAATGAACATTGGGCGGGCCGGAGCAGTCACTACACATGGTCAGACCATAATATATATTTCCTTCCTGAGGAACATGGTGTACATTCCTTTCGCATACTACTATTTGAATATGATTTATTTGTTTTGTATGTATACGAGTGTCTCTGTCTTATTCTCTCAAGCTATAGAAAATTCCCCCTTCTCTAGGTGTGTGCACGCACAATAATAAATGCTTGAAAGCACGAAAAAGAGGACATAGGAGCCTCTAGACCTGAGCCTAGCCATGAAAACACCTGAAGATGTGGATGTGCATTTCCATATGAGATAAATATGTGCATGTTTCAGCATGTTGCCCATTCTCTTGTGTGAATATGAAGGTATGCAGGAAGACATGACGTTTTAGATGCTCAAAGGTGTATAAGTCGTGTTGATTAGATTATTGTGTGAGCATGGGTGCCTATTGAAACTAGAACCTTATACACGTGTATTTTCGATTTTATTTGTGAGCATTTGTTTAGCAGGTTTTTATTTTCATTATGTTTTATTTGTGAATATGTGTAATCAGAGTTCTATGTGATTGTCGCATTCTAATGAAATTGAAGGGGAAGTTCTATAGGACAGCTGTGAGACCAGCTCTGCTTTATGAGAAAATGTTACGCAGTCAAGAAACAAACAACATAGCCATAGGATGAGCGTAATAGGGATGGGAATGTTGAGATAGATGAGTGGCAAGTTAAGAAAGGATTGAATTCAGAGAATATACTCTAAGGAGCTTAGGGATTCCTTTAGTAGGCGACGAGATAAGGGAAAGTAGACTTAGGTGGACTGGCCATGTGTTGTGCACGCCCAATACAACACCGGTTTGGAGGTGCGATTTGGTTCAAGTGCAAGGCTCTAAAAGGGCTAAGGGAAGGAGCAAAAGGAAATGGATGGAAGTAGTGAAAAAAAATATGGGGACTTATAGTCTTACTGAGGGTATGACCATTGGTAGCGCAGAATGGCAGAATAAGATTCGTGTAGCCAACCCAAGTAGTTGGGATAAGGCTCTAATGCTGATGATGACTATATGATGAAACGAGGAACATGGACTAACCGAGCAATGGCTTTTGAAATAAAAAATGTTGTATCCTTCGATGCTAAGGACACCCTCATGGTTCACATTGTACCTCATATTTAAGAACTTAGTGCAACATCTCAAGCCTTCAATCATTCTGTTGTCATAACAAAAGTCATGAAAAATGAGGCAGGGCATAAAAGCATTTCGACATATGTTGAAGCGACACATAAATATTATAGGGATTACATTTTCTTTGCCTTAACAACTCTGGGAGAAAGGGTGATCAGAATATGCCTCTCATTTTCTCCCTTTATCACCCCCTCAAGCCTCCTTTGCTGTGACACTACTGCCACTGGCTTTGCTCATTGACCAGATCGTAAGGCAACTCCTTTCTTTAAGTGAGGAAAAGAGTAATCAATTAAGGATAAATGTCGGGCAAGGTATAAGAAGGTAAATAATGTCGTTTCATTGTCCCATGCCTTCAGAGAGACTCTTGTCCTCCTGTTGTGTCAATTAAATGTCGGACGGTACACATGGTACAATGGTCATAGTATGTTGTTCACATGACCTTTTCTTGTGAGTAGAATAAGTCCATGAACGTATTGGCATGAAGAAAATGATAGACAAGTGAAATGAGCAATGGATAAAGGTGATTAAATGGTATAGGTTTCTCCCATTTTCTTCTTGGATGATCATTGCTTTGGTGAATTTTTTATTTTTTCTTTTTTGGATAGAATGCTCTAGTGAGTTTGTTGTGGCAAACATGCATACTTGGATGAAGTCAAATATGTTTTGAATCTAGGGAAATATTTGAAATTAAAATAAACATCTAAAAATTTGCTAAATTGGTAAGAGTTGAACACTTAGAATATCAAGTCTTATGTGGTCCGGTGAGTTGCTAAATAGAATTACAGCTTGTTTCTGTTTCTTACTTTATGAACTAGGACTTATTTCACTTTCACATGGATAATTACTAACTAGTTACTTGCATTGAGTCGCCCCCTTAGGTAGGCTCATAGCCATCCTCTTTTATTTATTATTTATCTATTATTGTTCTCATAATATTGGATCAGGATTCATGAAAATAGATGTGCTAAAGTTTCACTTGCCCAGCTTTGCACAACCTTCCTCCTGCTTTGGGCTTAGGACCAACATGACCGGCCATGACAGAGTTCTTTAGGACGAGACTTAAATGGTCCTATAGGAAAAAATAGTGCATGATACAAACGGTTACATGGAGGATATGGATATGGGGAAAGAATTTAGATGTGTTTTCTTATTCTTGATTTTGCTATGGTTGTCGTCCTAGCAATAGCAAGCACCTGCTTTAAAAAGCGAGATGAACAAGAAAGTGATGGCTCCCCTTCATTCTGCATCACCCTCTTCCAAACACCCTCACCTCACTCCTCTATATCCTCTCACTCGTCTGGCTTCCTCATTTTTCTCTCTCTCTGCTAAATCTCGTGCTGGTCCATCATTTCCCCCTCTTTATGAAATTACTCCCATCTTCAACGGCCCTAGAAGGATTTGTTTCCCTCTCCTTATGTAACCCCGGGCTTCCGCCATCTCCCTCCCCTCTTGTGACCCTCGGGCTCACGCCACCCCCTTACTTTCCTCACTCCTCGTTGACTTCCCTCTCCATCTCACTACCCCACTCAGCTTCATATTTCCATCATGGTGGGAGGACCTCATGCTGCTTTCCTTGAAAATGCTCTGCATCTATCGTTTGTTGGGCACTCCCACCCCCAAAGAAATGATGTCAAGGGGATTCAACGGTGGGCAATAGAAAGTTGGGATGTCTCGGAGCTTTTGTGTCAGAAAATATCCTCGGCGGACCTCCTCTTCTCTTTCCCCTTAGAGGAATCCTTTCGCAGAGCTCTCAAGCAGAAAAGCCCTCTCTTCCATGAGGTGGCTCTCTCGCTAGATGGAGCAAAGAAATGGGTGCTGCAGAACCCCAAAAGGTCTGGCTATCCATCTCTCCCACATTCCCCTCCATGCAAGGAGGATAGACACCTTTGGAAAAATAGGAGAGGCCTGTGGAAATTTTATTATAGGGTGTTGGAATGCAACCACCTCGCTCCCCATTACCTATCTGCCTTCTAATCGAGTCCCAAATCACTTCCCTTATTTCAAATTTCCTTTGGCTAAAGGCGGATGGCGTAGTTTTTGGGTTCAGTTTTCTTTGTCTGAGACATCCCCACCATTGGCCCACCATTGGCCCAGATCACGTAGATTATGTGATGGGTTAAAAGGCAATGGAGCACAGTAGTAGTTTCGTACGACACTCTGGTTGGACTACAGTCAACAGCAAACGCCCACCTAGAGCATATCGGAACCATCGGCTCACACATCGAAAGAATCCAGAGACTCTTCGAGCACGTCTTCCCACATTTCCCAACAACCTCTCACCCTCGGCTCCTCAAATCCCATCCCCTGCAGAGGTCATCATAGCGGGCTGCTTTATGCAGCCACGTGTCGACCTCCAACCAAACCCTATCCCTGCAGTTGCCAGCAACCCCGTTAGCTTTATGTAGCCATGCGTTGACCTCCCCGTAGTCCACATGCATTTGTGCACTACGTAGTCAGCACACCTCTCCACTGCATCCAGCTGGATCCCAGCGTTGATAGGACAGATGGCTTCCCCCTCCCCCAATCTTGAATCGACAGGTGGCTTTTCTCCCCCAGCCAAAAGTTGTGTTAATCATGTGTCTCACCTTGAGTTCCCACATCTGCCTCCATCGGCCCTCTCGCCCCTGCCAAACCTTGTGGCCACGTCCCCCTCAACCAATCCTCTGCCTTCTCTATTGGCAATCGTATGCCTTCATGCCCCAAGAAAGGTTGCTTCTCTCTTCCTCTGACCCCTTCCCAATCTCTTCTTGTGATCGAAGACCAACAATCTGGTACCACAGCAATGACGGAGGCTAATCACTTCTGCAACTCTACTCGGTGTGTTGGCTCTCCCTCCTCCTCCCCTCTCTCTTCAGTACCCTCATCCTTGGCATCTCCTACACTCATCGCTAGAACCCCAGCCTCTGAAACCCGTCCACCCTCTTTCCTGATTACCCCCAAGTTATTTTCCTTTTCCCACCCTCGTCTCCCCAGCCCGTCTCTCTCCCCATCCCCATCCCTCCTCTTCAGACCATTCATTCTCCCATCCTGTATTGAACCCCCCAAATACCCCTTCGCAATCCCCACATGGTCATTCTCTATCTGTCTTGCCCTTGCCTCCGTCTACATCCCTTTCCCCTCTGGCCCCTAACCTTCGGTCACCCCACCCACACATTTGCTGCTCACAACTGGTTTTTGTACCCCTTCCCTCCCCGGTCTCTTTCGCCTTGATATTAACCACCACCCAACAAGGATCCAGGATCCCCCGAACCTGCTTTGAATTTCTTGCATGCATCCCCCTTTTGCTGATGGATTCTCTAGAGCCTTTTCCGCCTCTTCTCGGCTGCTCGTCGCAGCAGGCCTCCTTCAAAACCCTTTTCGTCTTCCCCGACCCTCCAACCCTTGATCCTATCCCCCTTAAGTCTCTCCCCCACTCCAATCACCATATTACCTTGCTCTGAATTGATGGCTTCCCCATCTAAACAGACTGCCCTTA